CGGCCCGGGGGCTGCGCTCGTGGGCTCCCCTGCCGCCGTGGGAGCCTCGGCTCTCCGCGCGTTGTGTGCAGCGCCGCAGCATGATAACGGGGCGAACGTTGGGCGTCTGCCCCCAGCGCGTTCACAAGCCGTGGTTGAAGGTTAGAGGCATGAGATAGCCCTGTAGTAAACTATTTGCGCTGGAATGAGATGGTGAGCCGAGTCTGGAGAGAGCCGTGGAGGAGCTCTGCTGCTGCAAAGAAGATCCCCAGTTCCCACAGCAGTGTACCACGCAGCCTCTTTGCTGACTCCCTTTTTAAAGGGTATTTCCTACCTTTTTTTTTTCTCTTTCTGAAGTGTTTGTGATTTCCTCTGTAAAGTGTACCCTTTAAATCCAGCCATTTCAATATTAGACACTGTTTTGTCTCTTCTGGAGAAAATATCCTGCAAAATGGAGAAACACATCAACCTTGACCGAGGTCCAAGTTATTAAAGCAAGGAAGAGGTTATTCTTTGGGGAATTCAGTGAAGAAGGAAAAAAAAAAGACACAATAGGAATATTAAAGGAGTACTGAACAAAATAAATGACTTCTTACTTGTCCAGGAGTCAGACTGTTAGCAGGGTAAAGTATGTGACCTAGGATGCATGAAAGGAGGAAAAAAGAAAGAGAAAAAAATCAAGATGAATGATCTATGGTAAAACAAAGCTGAAAGTTTTGGTATAGGCCAAGATTGTAGAATCTGTGGAAAATCAGCACTAGACATAGCCTCATCACTGGTAATTTGAGCCAAAATAGTTATCTGTCTTTTCTGGCCAAGAGTTACAGTACGCAGTACCTCCAATCTCAGTTGCCATGAACATAAGGTATTCTTCCCAAGATTTACATCTTTAAAATATATGATCTGTTCATAAGCGATTCTCAGGCGTTTAGTATTTCAGTTACTTTTCTCAATCTTGTAGTTGTAATTTAAGGATTTTGGAATCAGTCTTTCTGCTGAAATACAGAGCTTCTATATTCTGTCCAGCGATGACAGTCCTTATTTAGCTCCCTTGACTTGAGTTCTCACGAGCCCTTAGCTAAGCCTAGCTAAGGCTTCTACTTCATAGCAAGCAAGAAAACATTACCAATAACTTTCACAAGTAATTAGAGGATTCTGTAATTATATAAAACTTAGGGATTGTGCAACGTATATTTGATAGCAGACCAGTTCAGTAGGGTGCTTTCTGGCAAGTGGAAGGTTGAGGCACTGAAATGAAGCAAATGCCATATATTGTAGGTGAGGCCGGTAATCGCTCTATGCTTAAGCCATCCAGCAGTTTCTCTGGTAGCGTTCTGCTTTTAGCTGTTTGCAGTCTTGCCAGCATTTGATTGATCAGCTCCAGAATCTTCTCACTTTGGATGAGAAGTTTGATGTTTGGCAAGGAATGTTGTCGGATGGCCAAAACTGTGTCCTTTTCAGCCATTGTGTAAGCCACTGAAGTTGAGTTGTGAGCTTCTCAACGGTCCTGTCTGTGCAGTATTAGTAGAAGCAAGAGTCTGGCAACTATCTCATGATTTTATCTCCTGGAGCCTGCTTCAGCCAGTGGCTTTAAGACTTAGCAGATTTGCTAAATTTTTTTCCTCTCTGGATATTTTAATGTCAGATACTGGAGCTCGGGGCAAGAAATTTTGTTGTTTCTCTGGGTTTTAGTCTTTAAGCACTTTTAGTATACATAGGCATTAGGAAACTGCAGAAGGAATAGCTCAGGTGTCAACCAGAAGTGGGCAGTAAAAAGTGTGGAACAGGGTGTGAGACCAGCACTGCTAAACGCTGGAGAGGTAAACCTAGAAGCTTAATTCTGGGTATTTTACTTGCTGGCAAATCAAAAAGCCTAAACATGCTTCTCTGCGAGAAGAAGACATCCCACTGCTGCTACCCACTGTTCAAATGACCTGAGTTTGGGTAGTAGATTCTTGTGTCCGGTTCTTAACGCCAAAGGTTGTATTCAAGCTGTGCTTATAAGCCCTGTAAAGTCCAACCCTCAGGTGAATGGAGAGTAGTCCATATTTACTGCCTTGTGAGCTAATATGTTGATTATGGGATGCCTGTTTGCGTAGCGACTTCTCCATCCTCCTCAGAACACTGGGTGGACAAGGGCTGTCCTAGTGACTCCAGGAACTGTGGCACAAACCAGCAACTTCTAGGATCAGAGGGAAAGGTCTGTGGTTTGTGGAAGGGTTTTGGGGAGAGGTGAGACCTCCTCTGTTGTTGTTGCAGGGAAGTTGGTGTGTCCTGTACTTCTGCTTTGCAAACTCAGGTGTCCTAAACATCTCAGAAGGGATGCCCCAAATTAGTGGACATCTTTTCCCTCAGTTTTTATCCTTATTTTCTTTCTGTTACTTTCCCATTTGTACAAGGAAGAAAATACTGCCTCCTTTCCTAGGACTGTTGTAGAGACAGTCCTCATGGCTATGAAACTCGCTGTTGTTTTGATGAGTTCTGTATATAAGTGTTGTGGAAATAATTTATACAAAGTAGGGAACAGAAGTACCTGGTAGACAAAGAAATACAGCCACATGCACCACAGCAAGACTTAATAGAAATACTGCATAGTTTTCTCTTTGTTTCTCAGAGTAAAAGGAATGATCCATATTTCCTATAGCCACTTGAAATTTCATATATAACCTGACAATATTTAGTTTGGTACCTCTTGTTTTTATTCAGGTGCTAAATAAGAGGTGTTTTCCATAGACATTTGTAGAGATTGCTCTTTGCTCAGACTCACTGGAAAGAAAATGAGACAAGATTCTGTAGCAGAGCATTAAAACTGCATCTACAGCAAGGCAGCGAAAGCTCAGGTTGTCTAGGAGAGATTCCTAAAGGTTCTTCAGTTTACCTATGGAGGCATAATTAGTAAAATTTGGAAGCATAAAGTTTCAGTTCTGCAGACAACGTGGACGATGACCTATTGTTCTTAGTACTGTATTTTCCCTTTCCTACTGATAGCCAAGCGTCTCATCGAAGGGAAGTCTTGAGTGAAACCCTGGTCCCACTGAGGTCAGTGGTAAAACAAAACAAAACAAAACAAAAACCCAACCACGACTGAAGCTGTTGAGATTAGGGTCTCCTGAAGGCCCAGTGCTTGCGTTTCATTAACCAGCTGTTTTTCTCATTGCAGATGGCAGAAGGGCTGTAATCTGTGAAATCACGTTTTTTAATATTACTTCGCCTTGCAACGTGCAGATAAAAATGCAGCTTTACACTCCACCCTCCTTAATAGTGTTAGACAAAGAGCAGGCAGAAATATGATCTTCTATATAACTAATCAAAATCTTTTTGCTGTCTCCATACATATTTTTCCCATGGTGCTAGGATGGTAAATATTTTAGCAGAGAGAATTAGCTCTACTTCTTTTCCTTTATGTTCTGTTATCAACAGGACTAGCCCACACCCTCACTTTGCCTCATTTTTTTGGCTCTGTTTCTAAACCCTAAAATTCCTGTCCCTGCATTGAAACACAATTAAATTGAGGCTTAATGTGGTGCCTGTTTAATGTAATCTTGCTTTCTGGCTTTCTTTTTTTTTTTTTCTAATTCTTCCAAGTCTGAATCTCATGAATCAACATGTATTCACATTTCATCTGAAATTTTCTAACTCTCCTCGGTATGCCTTAAAGTTTCCCTTTTTCAGTTTATGAAATAATAATAAAGAAGCTTAACTCCTCAGATTAAGTTGTAGCTGGTTTATGCATTACACAGACAATTTCAGCTTAACAAAGTAAAAATGGTGTGAGAGAGAAATTGCAGCTTGATTATTTTTTAAAATATTCAGATTAGAATGTCATCTTTTATGAGTTTTTTTATAACCACTTAGATTGATACAACTCTCTAAAGCTGCTCTGTTTTTCATCACACATTCTCATCTGTAAAACCTTCGTTTTTATTAATCTTTGTACAATCTGTACAATTTAGAGATTAATCATTGTAAAAGAGCTACTCTCCGAGTGCTACGGATTTGCTGGACTAATGCTAAATGCAAGCATTTCTAAATACTCTCCAGCAGATAGCACTTGCTTAGCATTTTGTATTAGTAAGTACCAGTCTTGGTTGCTCGGTTATCTAGAGCTACGTTTTATGGATATTTTTCCATGTCTGTTTATGGCTGTCTAGAGCCAAAGAACAAATACACTGGGTGATTTTTTCATCAACCAACGAAATATTTAATACACCAGTTCTGCCTTTGTGCTGCTTTCATTAAGTTAAAGGAGTTGCATATTTACAGGTAAAGGCAGAACGCGAGAGACCGTGATGCCCAATCCTGCAGTCCTTTCTCGAACAAAAATCCCTGTGGGTCCCCACAATTTGGCTGTGTCTGACCTTGCTTAGATCTGACTCCTTGCAGGACTTGCAGAGGGATCAGCCGGGTGTCGCTCCCAGTGATAACTCTGGGCTTTAAAGGGGAAATCTGCTTACTCATTTATTGCCCCTTGGTCTCCCCTTGGGAGAACACGCGGCTCCTCCTCTGGGAAGTGGTCTATCCCAAGGACCAGTGTTCATCCACGTCCACCTGCGCAGCGCTGGTGAGTCCCTAACGTGTTTTTGTTATTGTTGCTTGGTCTGGAACGCGCAGCGTGGACTTTGTGGTGCTTGAGGAAGATGTAGGATGCTGCCTGCTCCTCAGGGACTTTATGGGCAACTTTTCATTATTTTTCATGCCTTAGTAAATGTCAAAGTGTATGACGTTCTGCTTGTTTGCCTAGTTAAACATCTAATCCCCAACTAGAAGAGACAAAAGTTAAAGAGCTCCAACCCTCTTAAGATTTCCTTCTACCTAATGTACTGCAGATATAAATGCATCACTTACTTGCACTGTTAATGTATGTGGGATTTCCTCTCATTTTTATCTTTCAAATGCAGTAAATTTGAGGTTTTGAGGTTCAGGAATGTACTTAAAATGCCTTTATACTGGTTCTTCTGTCACTTCTTTTTATTTTAGTATGTAGATTGTAACAATATAAAGAAACCTGACTATGCAAAAATGTGGTATAAATTTTGTGGCATACATCATGGATGCATTGAGCAAAGAGGGAAGAGATTGAAAGAAGAAAGTTCCTTTTTTTTAAAGGTTATTATTAATGCAGAGGGAAGGTTCAGGTTCAAGAGAGCAGGAGTAGGGACTGGTTATGAAAACTCTCCATTCAGTGTACCAGGATCTTCACTGATTTGAATGAAGAGTCACTGCTAATTTCTGTCTCCATGAAGATCACGTTATTTCATGCTGCTTCATAGTAAATTCTATCTTCTGACTCAAGAAATCCCGTGTAGCCCATTTCGCTATCCTGGGCTGTGTGACTGTGCTGAGTACCAGCCAGCGGTGATACGCTTTAGAATGGAAACTACGGTTCCTCCTTAAAATGCCTCTTGTCAGGGGCTCTTTAAGTAGATGGCTCTTCGGTAGTTAATATATTATGGGTCAGGAGCCTCTGAAAACAGGTTTAAATCTTCAAGACTTTGCAGCTTTATGTACAGCTATAGAGAAGTATATTTAGAAATAATGGGAGGAAATATGAAAATGAAAAGGCTGAACGTTGCGGAAGGCTTCCCAGCTGAGCAATAGCAGTTCAGATGGAGACCTTCCCAAGATCTCCCATTCATAGGGACATCGCTGAAGGCACAAGCCAGGGTGTTTATTTGGTTTCTTATTTCTAGGAGGAATTATTTCCAAAGGGACTATTTTTTTTTACAAAAGTCTTAATTACTGAAGGGTGAAAACCATGTGAATTTGAAGGAAATATTAGGCTGTATGATAAACTTTTGCTGGATGTTCCTCTTCCTTCTAAAGTTCCTTCTGTCCTGGGAGTTTTCTTATCTGTCTTTTTGTCTGCTGCTTTTTATCATGGGTAAGGTCATTAGGAAAGGTGTGAACTGAAGGTTACGCAACTACTCAGGGTGTCTAATGTCAAAGTTCAGTATTTACCCTTGATTCACTAATATTCTGCAGATCAGCAGCAGCAGCTTCTGCTGCAAATGGAGGAGCTCACTGTAAGATGGTAGTTCTCCTGTCCCTTCTTTTTAAAAATACACCCTATAATTTGTGATTAACATGAGCGTTGCCATGAGTCAGGTGCTTTTTAAGCTTTAATTGATTTATTTGTTTATTTATTAGCAAAGTCTGTAGACTTTGCTGCCTTTAAATAGAGATGAAAATTCAGCAAGGATGTTTTCTTGCCACTACCCTATAGCTTGTTTCCCTGTGATCTCCTATTTGCCACTTCAGGCTGAAATAACAGAGTAGAGTCTCCAGAAGGAAGTAGCCTTTGATCCTTTGCCTGGATAGGAGGAGCTGAAGGGAATTCCTGGCAAGTCCTAGCTGGCCAGGAGCGCTGAAATGGACTGGAAGCAGCGAGGGATTGAGCTGAAGAAGCCCATCTGTCAGGTGGCGGCCCGCGGGCTGCCACGAGGGCTCAGCATGACAGACGTGGCCCACGCGCTGCTGCAATGGCTGTTCACTAAACCTCTCCTCTCCTCGGTGAAGCTCACAAACCTTTTAGATGGCTCCTGCGGTCCCGTTCCTCTGGCTGTTCTGCAAATCACTTAAGTGGTTTAAAACTTCCTTGTAACTCTACTCTGCACATGAACTTTGAGTGTAAAGAAAGGAAGGACCAGTGAAATGAGAGCGCGGGCCTCAGGGACCCGCTAGAATTGCTATTGCAAGCACTTGGCAAAGCCTAGGATAACATCCTATGTATCCATCTTTGTCCCAGGCTGTGTGCCCTTGGGCTTTGCTCTGGGCTTTCTAATTTCTAGCGCAGGGTAAAATATGAGCACTTACCATTGCCAGGGTGTATTAATACATGTGGCTACTAATTTAAAAGCTAAAGTTTATTTACATCTTTCTGACATCAAGGAGGTTGTGCACGGGAAATACAGCAATGTTTTTAACATCCTGGAGAGCAGAAAGTAGGATTTTGAAGAAAAAGTGTAATTAGATGACCATATGCTTGTGAGATTCTCCAAAACAGAACAGAACTTATATATTTTAAAAACTTTCATCATGATGCTGCATGAAGTATCCTGATTATTTACAGCTAGTAGGAATAGGCTTTGTTGTTGTTTTTGAGGGTTAATGTGTAGTGCATCCCGCAAGCTGATATGTGGGATAAGTAGTTTGGACACTGATTTGTAATCTCTGTTTATGAGTACATGACTGCTATTCTTATAAATGTCATCACTTTCTTGGTAGTATCTGGTAATATCTGAGTCATGAGGTGCTGACAAAAATCCACTGCACTTAATGTGAAACTTGAGGCATTTTGCTCATTCCAAAAGATATTAGCAATAGCCAGCCCCACATTTAACTGATAAATAACGTGTACATGTGCACATGACACAGTTATGCTGCTATGTGGATTTTTTCCCTCTACCTAATATCTTTGTGAAAATACATCAGAGTCCAAATCAAGGCAGTAATTTTTTTGTTCCGGACTGTCTTAATGGCTGCGAGAAGACGTGTGTGTGGAGTCAGCGCCCTGGGCCGGGAGGGAGCGGGTGCAGGCAGCCTGCTTCTGGGAACGCCGCTCCGACAGCGATGTCCTGGCTACAGAAGCGAGCTCTGCAGGTGTTACCGCCAGCCTCAGCCATGGAACCTCTCTCCTGGAGCCGAGCACTGAAAACTGTTGAATTTCTCCTTTATTTACAGCCATACAGCAGGATACGAGAACGAGAACCACAGCGCTCCGATGCTGTACAGCTGCGGGGCCCAGTACAGGATACACACCCACGGCGTGTTCAGAGGCATACAGGTGAGGGCAGCCCTTCGCGGGGGGGCCCGTTTGGTTACTACTGCCCTGCTATTTGTGTATCCACCCTGGCTTTGTGCTTTCCCTGTTATCAGGAAATGCTTGAAATAACGAGGTCCTGACTTCATCGAAGTAAAATGTAGGACTACCTTCTGACAAAGCTCTTTAAAAATATTAATTTCTCCCTTAAAACACATTTTTGAGGCAATATTCCTTATCAGCTTCTTGCAGTGGTCCAAAATAGAAAGCCCTGCAACTGGCTGCAGTCACTTCTGCCTTGCAAGGCTTCTGTGGTTGCAATGGGTTAAGTCCATTGCTGTATAGAAAAGATAACAGTTTGATTTCAGAGAGGTTTGAAGCCTTACTAATTTGAACACATTTCCTCACAAGAAAATTTAATAAGCGACTGTGTCCTCATGAATATTTTTTTACCTTTCTGAAAGTTAGAGCATTGATAAATAAATATGTAAATATGTCTTCTTTAAACTTATGACAAAGTCATTACAAAATATTTCTCTTTTGTGTTGTGTTGTCATCTGTGTTTTCAGCATATGTGAACATTTTTAGACAGCATCTCTTGTCCTTTTATATCACTATATGGCTTCACAATTTGTTATCTAGTAAGGAGCTCGCAGAAGCAGACCTGTGAGCCAACTTTTTGTTGAGTGACTAGGACCAAGCAGTTAACATAGTTTAAGGAAGTGAATTCTTGCAGGAGATGATTGTTTTTGATGGAACATGATGACAGTGGCCAAACTGCATTAAGACTGAACAATCCTCCAGCTCCACCTGCACATTTTTTTTTAACCAATTTTAATTGATCCAAAATATTAATATCTCATCCTTTAACTCAATATGAAAGTTTAATGTAAAGAATGCTCTTATCTCTTTTCACTGGTATAAGCCCCAAATTATTTCATGGCCAATGAATGTTCCTCTGGGTCTGTGCAATCACACCCGCCATCAGTGTGCCCTGCTTAATCTCACGTATACATTTCAGTGAGAGAATTTAATAAGCAGAATTCACTGTGTTTTACCTGCACATAATTTTAATACTCTGCAAAGACCAGCTTAAGATATGCTGCAGTTTCCCTGAGTTAATAAAGAATAAAATAAAATAGCCTTGTGCTATATATATAGTGTGCTATATTCAAGTATTTCTTTGTCCCAGAGCAGCGTGTTTGACTGTTTGACTGTGATAAGCCAAAGCTTAGAACATATGTATTGCATCAGCCAGCCTCTGTCCTTGCAGGATGTCCGACGAGTGCCTGGAGTGGCTCCAACGATCGTCCGATCGGCGGGCGAGACGAACGAGAAGCGGCCCTTCATGTGCGCGTACCCCGGCTGCAACAAGCGCTACTTCAAGCTGTCCCACCTGCAGATGCACAGCAGGAAGCACACTGGTAAGGGCAGCGGGGGCCCGCCGAGGTTGCGTGGCAGCGCTGGACAGCAGAGTGGGGAGGGCGATTTCAAAACGGCCCGAGGGGCCAGAAGTGACGCGCCAAGCTGGGGCAGAGCGAATCCTTCCGGCAAGGTGGGTATGTGCTCTGGGCAGTTCCTCGTCAGGATGCAGAAGATTCTCTGTGAATTAACACTGAAAGATGCTTACGAAGGAACTTGATAGTCTCTGTGGCTTGTTTTTTAACAGGATAAAGTTCTACAGGCAAAAAAATGATTTAAATGTTTATAGAATGTCTATAGAATACAGACAGGCATAAAGGGTAGACAATGAAGACTTTGGAGTCCAAGGTCTGCAGAAATGTCATTCTATTCCTGTGCCACATGCTCTAGGTGACCCTGCATATGCAGGGGGGTTGGACTAGGTGATCTCTAGAGGTCCCTTCCAACTGTAAGCATTCTATGATTCTATGATGCTGTTTTCCATAAATAAATCTAAAAGAGAAGAAAATGTGGAAGTGTAGTGGAACAAGGCAGGGGAAGCTTTCTGGGGTAGTTGCTTGACTTGTCTGGACGATGCATTCAGCCTTGGGATTAGAAGTGATTTTTCTTCTTTATCTGGCTGGCAGGGAGAGTTAGGTTTTTGTTAGATTTTTGGGTGCTAGCTATTTCCAATAATTATCATCTGGAAATTGTGCTCTAGCAATTTCCCAATTGCCACAGAGATTAGGACATGATGCACTTCATTTCTTGGCTCCTCCTCTAACCTGAAAGTCTTAGTTTTTGGGAGTGCTTGGCGAATTATGCTTTATGGGAGTGTTTGCAGTGGATGCTCTGCAAACACTTCTGCATATGAATTAATATATTTTCACATTGCCTCATTTATATAATAAGATAATTCTGGGATAGTTTGCTTGTGTTTGGCATATCTCTTTATGGCCAAAGTAAAACATTATGTCTTATGTTTCTGCATTGACTCATGACATTGAAACTCTTCCACCTTTCTTAGTATAATGGTACATCAGTTTTGTAATAATGACTTGCAAACAGTGGCATGTATCTAGTATTAAAACAGCAGGTGGTATCAATACAGAATAGTGTTGGCTCTTGACTATCTTTTCCTTTCTACCATTTACAGAGGACTGGCACTGGCTTTTTAGATCTTCTGTTCACTAGCTGCAGTATTGCAAAATCAAACAGGGCTCTAAAACACAAAATTGGATCCTGTAATCAGTTTTTACCAATGTTTCAACATAGCCTTAGTTGAAAATATGTTGACATTTTGTACCCTTCAAGATTGCTTAGCATTGTTAACAAGGCTTTTATTGAAACATGTGCAGCCAAAAAAGCTTTCTCTTATCGTGGTATATTTTGCTGCAGCAGATAGGCCTCCTAAGGGAAACGCAGAAATACATATAACTTTTCAGCAGTGCAGCCATTAATATAGTGACTCGTTATCCTGTAAACTTCAGAGATTTCTTTGTGGAAACAAATTTATGTCTAAACCTTCATGAATGTCGTTTGTGGTGGTTCTGCCTCAGCCCTTTGGAGTGTAGTGCCACACATTGGAAGAACTGTAGATCTACCCTACGTAGAACAGCATCTTCACAGGGAAAGCGCTCCCTGCCTTCCCACCACACACATCCTTCAGCTGAAATATGCTCAGCTGCAGCTGCGAGTTTCTGTAAGGAAAACGGAGAATCTGTAACTCAGGACTTCATCCTTTATGTGGCTGCTGTCTCTTGGTGGTGAAATTCAGAGGCTCTAATAGGTGTAAATAATAGAATCAAACAATGATTTTTGTGCTCATCATCCCATACTGATTGCTTTGACTGAAGCAAATATCCTTTTATGATGGCACGTGTCACTGTGCTGCAAAGCTTCTTACAGTCATTAGTTGTTAAAACACCTTTGAAAGACAGAGCTCTGCTCCATCTGGCTGTGACTGTTGGATTCTAGGAGAGTGGCCAGGGAAAGTATTGTGGCTTTTTGCCCTGTTCTGTTCTCCCGTGGGTGTCCTTGGTGCTCCAGTGTGGGACACCACAGGGCAGCATGGATCTATGGCCTTGATTTTTCAAGCTTTCCATCCTTCCTGGGTTTTAATGTCTGAAGGATAAAGCAAAATTATTCTGTATTTAAAACAAGAGTTTAGTTGCACAACGGTAACATCCTTCTATACCTGAAGCCCCACGTGAAGGTGATAGGAAACATTTCCTGTAAAGACTCTTTACTAAATACAGAGAGCAGCTGGAACAGGAATGTGTTAGAGCAGTGCAGTGAAGTTCTGCGTAGGGGACTGTGCTGGCTGATTCAGTGGGGGTACAAGGGAGCACAGGCGGCCGTCAGCTTCGTGGTGACACTTACAGGCCACAAAACCAACCCTTCTCCTGATGCTTTGCTCTTGGCAGCAGGCTTTTGCTCTTCCAGTGCTCCTTAGTTAGATAAAACAGGCAAGGGGAATATTTTGTGCAATAGTTGTAGTAGGAGGAATTTCAGAAAATGTGTGAGCTTGTTCTTTTTTAACTTAGCCCTCTTTGAGGAAATAGTTTTATTTTATTAAAAGTGTTTACTGAAGTAATGCAAAGGCTGAATCACACTTGTGCTGTCATTGCTGAGCTTTATTTTTCCTAAATATCAAAAAATACCTCTCCCATTTTGATTATTTCATTAGTCAAGTCATGCACTGAGTTTAGACTTTACTTTGTGTTCTCTACATTAGTAAATAAATGGAAATAATCAGGAAAACTTCAGTGTCACAGGAGAAAGGACTGTTGAAAGGTCATCAGCATCTCTGTTTTACTTTTTTCTTAATGCATATAGTCATATAGGAAGGTGAATATACACTGGAATGTTTTTCATATATTGAGAGATCTAAGACTACTACTGAAAAGGTTCTAGTGGATCTGTGAGACTTTCTGTGTAGTGGTTTAATGAGGCACCAAGAGGCTCTTTCTGATTTGGCATCTTTTTGCCATCCTGGTCTCATGAAACTCATGGAAGTTACCGCTTCCAGGACAGAAGGCCTCAGCAGGCATTTCACTTGCCACCAGCTGATACTGAGCGTGTAGAAGGAAATCTCTAGGAGGATTTCTGTCCAAATATTGTGCCTGTTTCTGTTTGTTTGCTTTTGTTTTGCTTGCAGTGTTGACATATCTCTGTGTAAGCATGCTGGATTGATTACATGCTCTGGTTAAATTTGTCCTGAATTTAATCAAGGTTATATTTCAAATATTTAAAGAAAAGCTTTAAGATGCCTGCCATCAGACCTGCTATACTGTTTCATTCAAATACCTCCCTGTCTTCTGCATTTATTTTGCAATTAGGAGACAATCACCCTGTCACTGCACTCTGCTCTGCTGACATTCCCCTCTTAAATCTGCCAAAGAGCTGAATTCCTTGGAAGTAAGTGGTTTCGGAGAAGCAGGCACCCCCCAGGGAGTCCTTGTGGTCAAAGTGTGGGGAATTATTTTAAACACTTCTGGCAGCTTTAATCCCTTATGTTAATAAATTAAGCACAGCAGAATGGCAATTGCCCACACCTAAGTCTGAGAGTCAGGAAACTCTTTTGGGTGACTGTCACAGGAGCGTTAAGTTGTTCCTGCAGATTTAGCCGCTATTGTGAAATTTTGATCTTAGCTGCACTCGTAAACTTGCAATACTCTTCTTAAGATGCTGTTATGCTGTGTTACCCCCATCAGAAGACTTCTGCCTTAAACTCAAATAGCTTGTACTGGTACCTTAGAACAGAGTTCTGTGCAAATATAGTACAGAGCTATTAATAAACCTTTCAATCGATTCTGTAATAGTTTTTACAAAGTGTCTAAAGACCATCCAGAAAAATTATTTTAAAAGAAGAAATGTCTTTAGGCTCTTAAATCCTGCCACATCCTAATATTCTAATGATTAGCTCCAAATGAATATTTACGTAAGACAGACCAATTTACTTACTTAGTCATGCACAAGGATAAAATGGCATCACAGCCATATTCCTTTGCTGTAGCTCAGCAGATACACTTCTCATTCAAGATGCAACTGGTGCCAAAAATCCCTCTTCTCCTCATCAAAATAAAATAAAAAAATGCCAATCCTCTTACTGAAGTTTTTTGGAAGCATTTTGAGTTCAAAAATACACAGGGAAGCCAAGCTCACCTTCCCTTATTTTGCTGAGCTCCCATTTTCCCCTAGGTGTTTCCCGCTGGATTTTCGCTTCCGTGCCAGCGACGCGCAGCCGAGCAGCAGGTGGCAGCTGCTCCAGTGTGCGCCTTGCGCACGGGGAAGGCAGGACCTGCACTGCTTCTCGTGCTGAGGTCTCTCTGCCAGCTGTGGCACCGCACAGACACTTCATGTGGGGAGTGATATAACTGGATAGACCTTAGGCTCTTGCAGGACTACGCTGTGGTGCAAGGGGGCCTCAGTCGGGGTGAGAATCAAACCTGCCACCCATGGAGCTCCTCTGTGACAGTGCCAGGGTTGGTTCTGTGGGGCTGGCTGGACTTCCCCACCTCTGCAGCGTGCTGCAGGCCAGCGGCGTGTCCGTCTTTCCTCAGCTCCTTCCACTGCTGCCTTTCTCTTCGTGTGTTTATGTGGCTGGTGAAGTCCCTCGTTTTGAAAAACATGCTCATTCGGGGCACTATCTTTTAGGGATTTTGGTTTTTTTAAATCAGAAACTCACTGTTATTCCTGGACAGAACATACCCTGAGGTTCTGCACTGACCTATACGGAGGGTGGAGGACGTTTCCTCCCTGTACATGTGGCTTGGGAATAATGCACAGGATTGCCTGGGGGCAGGGGGCAGCTGTCTGCAAAATTCTGTGCAATGGTGCCTTATGGAATAAACAGCATTTAAGTTTGCGGGAAGAATGTGCATTTTTCTGTGTTTGAATTTTGCTCTGTTATTCTTTTAATTCGTTACAATTACCAGCTGCATGGATGTCATTGGTTTCGTTTTTGCCTCAAATCCAAATTAGAGCAAGCTGCGAGTTTGTTCCCTTGCATGAATTACAGCTCTCTGAAACAGATCGAAATAGCTGACTAAGGTTTTCTGCAAAACATTGAACAAGACATTTTGGTTCTTTTCTAGCAGAAAACAATAAAATGATTTTCATGCAACTTAATTTTGGTGATTTTAACCTAATGGGCCATTTTCTTTAGGACAAAGAGATTTGAGATCAGAGACAGTATCGTATAATTAGCTATTTTCCCCAGCCTTTCCTCAGTGATTCTAATGCAGTTGCATAGTTTTATATCAAATGAGAATCTAGCCTAACTCTAGATTGCTTTAGAAAGGAAGGAAGATCAAATATTTTAGTGTAATAGGCTTTATCTCTGGATTCTAGATAACATATTCCTCAGTTTGGGCACGTTTTCTAATAAATCATTTGTCCTTTACAGGTGAAAAACCCTATCAGTGTGATTTTAAGGACTGTGAACGAAGATTTTCTCGTTCAGACCAACTCAAACGGCACCAAAGACGACACACAGGTCTGTTGGCAACGCCTCTCTCCTCTTTAGATTTCATCTTTGTAAGTGAGTTAGCTGCAAAGATTTGTTCTTAAATTCAGCTTTAGTAGGGGACTGGACCTTCTGTTTCTCCTGCCATTTCAGCATGAATGTGCTTATTTATGACCTTGCCACCCAGCAGCCACCTTTTTGAAACAGCTTTTTAGGTGGAACTGCGCTGTACTGTTATCTGCAATATAGGAAATACAATTTTAAAAAGCAAGCAGTTCTGCAAGAACTAAGTGCCCACAAGCAACCAGATAAACACTGCTGTTGATGTTCTGGGGTTTGTGTGGTAAAGCTAATTACGTGAGTGCTGCGGGTGCCTAGCTTGAAAAGGTGATGGGATTGCACGTGGAAAGGAGGAGCGGAGAAGGGAAGGCCAGACCCTGTTTCAGAGTACTCCTCTGATGGAGAAAAGGGAGAACGCGGGCTTGGGTGTCCTGTCCCCCAGGGAAGTGCTCTGGCACTTGGTCTCCTGGCTGTTGTGGGGTGGCTAGGATAAAAAATAACAAAGTTTGCAAAGCTCCCTTGGTCCAGCAGCGTAAGCGGATGCTTGTTTACGCTGGTGCAGTTTGGATACTTCAGACCCAGATGTAGACGGAGGTTGCAAAGGGGTTATGTGTGGCAGGCTGATTAACGACTTTCTGTAATGCGGAGGCATGAAGCTGGGAGGAGCACTTACAGGAACTAGTACAAAACATCCAGATTTTTGAAAACTCAGAAATAGCTGCTATCGTTCACCCTACCAAGAGGAGAGTGCGTATGAGCATAGACTTCTTTTATCTCTTCAGGTGTGAAACCCTTCCAGTGTAAAACCTGTCAGAGAAAGTTCTCCAGATCTGATCATCTGAAAACTCATACCAGGACTCATACAGGTAAAACAAGTGCGTAAACTTTTCTTCACATTTATATTTCATTATTTATTATGTTTAAATAAATGTTACTATAAATTAAATGATTAGAAGGTCTCCTAATGAGGGGTTAAATATTCAAAACTACAGAAAACATTTCAGACCCCAATGATTTTATAATGTGACTATAGCCCCTAAATGTCATAGTGACTTTTCAAAATGGGATTTAGGTGATTTTACACATTCTTATTTAATATTTTAAGAAATTTCAGCTTGGCATAATATATTTTGTCAACTACTATGAAACAATCATCACAGTCTCAACCCACAATTGTGAAGCTGATCTACTGCTTTACTGCAAAAACCTCCAAGACAGAAGTTTTAACTCTAGCTTCAGCAGAAGGTCTGTAATCTAAAGTATTCATAACTACTCATGCTTCCCCTAAGTGTCACTTGAGCCTAATGCAGGAAATCATGGCAAAGCTCTTATAGTTGCTCCTTGCGCTGCAATCTCTTCTCTCCAGAAGATAAATAGAGAGCTTCTTGCAAACTCACACTGATGGACACTGAAGTAAAAGCCTACTCACATATCCAAATATCCATTCTTTTTGTAGAAACCATAGTATTTCATATAAATACAGAAAAAAAATATGAGGCTATTTTAGTCTACTCTATGTGCACATAACTGTGAACACTATTAAGGAGCAACTGCAGCAACCTCTGTATTTTGGCTGTAACTTTAGAATTGTTCTTATGAATAAATATTTTTATATTCCTTCGCAGTACATATACAATATTTTTACCAAGTACTTTTTATTTTCACTAAACGCTTTGACGTGCTAACTTAGTTTAAAAAGAATTGAGATAGTTTTGGTCAGGAAGTGATTTCACTTGGCTTTTCGTAGTTGCCACAGTATTTTATGCTAGGATTAACCTTTGAAAATGTCTCTACATTGTTGTCCTATGGACCAAAAGAGATACATGTTTAAGACTTGCATAAATTAGTTAGAAATTTTCATAAAGGACACAATTAACCTGAGAATCATGGGACTTTCTCTGGAGCCAACCAAAGAAGTGCTTCAAGTAACAGCCCCGTCTGCGCCTGCGAGCTGCCAATGCTCAAGGGCTTGGCTGTGTTCCTGGGCTCTCCCCAGCCTCCCGTGCCGAGCCACAGCACCTGGGGCTGCACCCAGGTATTTTCTTGCTCAGCAAGAGCTGACACTCTGATGTGGACACATGGCAAGCAGGTTTCCCCATGTTGCCTGTCAGGATAAACTGTGTTCCCTATCACGTTTCACTGCTGCCTCATCTGCTAATTCATATGAAGACCCCTCAGTGTCCCAGTTTACCTAAACAAGGGAGAAACAAGAACTTGTTCTCTTTTTATTTTTCTAGTAATCTGTTTTAGTCCTTCCTCGCAGGCCAAGCCCAAACTGTGCTCATCGCTGAGTTAATTAACTGCGGTAGCAATCCTTGCTTTCAGAAACAGCAACAAAATGAAAAGAAAGTTCCACACCTCTGACTTTTTAGCAATAGAAATGTGATTTCTGCTTCCTGCACAGGGAAGCTGTGTGGAGTAATCCGTGCCTAGCACAGGATCAGTAGAGATTGCTGCCCCCTGTTGCAAGAGGAGAACCAGAATTGCTTGTCAGGCCCCACAGCTCCTTGCTGCCTTTGCTGTGGTGGTGCAGCGCCAAGCTACCAGCAATAGAAAACTCACAGCAGTTCACAGTGTGGTTTGGCTAGTGCTGTGGAGATGAAAGGAGACCACTTTATGCAATTTGTGATTCTTATCGGTAGTTGTAAGCAGATCAGCTTTGTCCCATACTGTGTTATGCACTCAAGTGAGATGGTTGATGCTTTTGCAAGCGTGTATGTTAAGTGGATAAAGTAGATTTTAACGCTCCACCCCACTTATATAATCTGTTTATTGCATGGGATTTTACAAACAGAAATACACAACATTCACGCCCATCCCAGATCCCTTTTTGCCTGAATTTGGATGTTTGTGAAATGCACAAAGTATGAGGCAAAGAAGAGAAGAAGATGGCTGGGTGAGCTCATCCCACTCCAGTGTGTCTTGAGTTGGAGGTACGAGGTGTGTAGACAGCACGGAAGAGGCCAGGCCCAAAGCTGAACCTGCTTTAAAGTATTGCATCTATTTGAGGAGAAAGAAAATGAAAGTCTGACAGAAACATGAGTCACCAGGCATTGCTCTGAGCTAATGAAAGCATTCCTGTTTTAGAGACACGGTCTGACATTCCACTTAGGTGCTGTAGAAAATCAAGAGAGCAGATGGAACTCTAAGAAAGTGGTGGCATTTCTTGTTACAATTGTATGTTCTTTCCTTGGGCTTCATTTTTAGTGAAGAGTGTATTTGTTGGAATGTTAGAAAAATGCTGAATATTTTGGGCCTCTGAAATCTCTATTTTGGCAGTGATGGGAAACTTCTGGTGTAGCTCAGCAGACTTCATGCTGAACCCTGTTGCTTCTGCCACATTCACTTGCACTCACCAGTTCCAAAGAACGTGCTGAGCGTGCGGGGACGACTCTCCTTGACTCGATGTCAAGCCTCTAGCGCAGGATCGCTCGCTCCGCGGGCCCTGCGACGGCCGCCGCAGGCAGAGAGCACGGAGCACAGGAGCCGAGGGCGCTGCGCAGCCCGGCCCGAGCGCGTCCTCCCCACCGCTGACGCGAGCGAGTAGCAGCGTCTCGGGCAGGCCGCGTACCCGCTTAATAACAGGGTGTTTTGTTAACAGGTGAAAAGCCTTTCAGCTGCCGGTGGCCCAGCTGTCAAAAAAAATTTGCCAGGTCTGATGAATTAGTTCGTCATCACAACATGCACCAGAGGAACATGACTAAGCTGCAGTTGGCTCTTTAGACAGTTCAAACAAGGGAATAAACCAGATGGGACATTATGAGCTACTGCAAACTTTCTCAGCCATCTTCAGTCACCTCTGTCAGAAAGCTGCGGCTGTCTTCTCAACGCACTTGGCACAAGTTAACTAAACCGTAGGATTCTGCTCAGCCTTGTCTTCCATTTTGACTTAAAAAAATTTCCTATTCAATAAGTTCAAGAGATTTTTATTTGTAACTTTGCTAAAAAGTGAGCAGGATTGCCACAGTTTCAATATCACTATAAACAATGCTTACTTTGGATGTCTGCTTCCAGTTTTCTGCTTTAATTTTTACTTCAACTTTCCTAGGTACACATTACTGTACCTTTTTCAGTCCTGCCGTGAGTAGGGTACCTGTCCCAAATCAAGGTAAGCTTTATGCTTGCTGCATTTGTGCACATGCTGAAGTTTCCAAACGCGAGCTATCCTACGCCAGAACATTCATCTGAGATACTTTTGGTAAACTTTGTACTTGTACTGCTGAAGGGCAAGCTTTTAAAGCTAGAAGCTCAGCTTTTGAATTTCACAAATTAAACTTTTTTAAAGAACATATTTCTAGAGCAGCTAAAACTAGTTGAATCAATACCTCTCTGTACAGAAAATAAGAATCTTACCATTAAGTTAACTTGTTCTTTAAATAATCACATAATTGATCCCCAACAACTGATTTGTTTGTCAAATAACTCTCTCTCTGTCTCTTTTAAATGTATTGATTTAAATTTATTCCATCATGAGACGTATAGATCTCCTTGACACAAAACTAATTCCAATCATTGTAGACATTTGGGATTCGTTTACAATGTAAAGCCACACTGGTTATGTGGCTAGCAAGCTGTATAAACTTAAAACTGAACTTTAATGGGGCTGGTCCAGGATCTCCATTAACAGATTACTCTTAAGATAAGTAACTTAAAAAGACTCTTGGTCAAGTGTATGTGAAAAAGACATTATTAGTGTAAGGAAATATATTGTTTCAGGGTTTTGGGAGGAGGGGTTTATTATTTACTTTTAATTGCTTGAAATTGTGTGTATATATATATATCTGATAATGTATTGCTCTTAGACATCTAAAATTAGAAAGTGTATAAATATTAGATGCATCACTGTTCTGATGTTGTTGCTGTTACAAACTATTGATAACACTAAGAATGTAACCTGCATTTTTCACTGAGCTTTCAATTAAAGCCCATTCAAAGAGAAACACATGAGAGTCCAACAGATGTCTTGTTTCATGTCTGGTATTAAATTTCAAATGCCCTGTCCAATAGTATCCTCTTTTTTTTTTTTTTTTTTTTTTTGTATATAAAGGTAAAAACCAGCACTGATGACCACTAGTTAACCTGTCCAGGTCTTGACCACAATTTATCCATCTCACTTGGGAATCATACTGGCAACAGAAAACAGTGTCAAGTTTCATATTGTGCTATAAAAGAGTTGCTTCAATCGTTCGTCTTCTTACAGAAGTATTCCCTTTCTCTAGACCTGTAAGATTTGTGTAAGAACTTCATAGCATAGTAAAATCCAGTTTAAAAATAGAAGTACTGGCCTTCTGCAGAACTGCGCTGAAACCATAAGCACAGATAACTTTTTAAATTAGGATGCCAAGGGCTAACTTTTAAGTAAAAGTTAACTTAGAGTCGGAATGTCTTAAATCACTTCAGCAGGTTGAAAAAGACGGTCTTGCTTAGATGATGAAGTGTGAAAATGAAGATAAAAAAAAACTGTTTCTTTGTCATACTGCCTGCTTTTCTCTAGAAGTAAGTACAGCCTGCCTTAGTGCCCTTTGACCTTGCAAAATATTTGTATCTCTTTAGCAAAAATCCTGAATGTATCTTGCCAAGCTTTTTTCTCTAATGTACACAATGGAGTTCTATGATGGGTTGAGCTTTCTCTCTTAAAGTGCAGCTGCATCGTCAAGAGAACTCAACAGTTAATTCTTCAAGTCCTCTTTTTCGCATGGGTATTGCATCACGGTTAATTACTGTTGGGGTACTGCGGCTCATTTGTATCCGTCAGCTTTATCTTTGGCTGCCAAGAGACAGCATCTCTCTGGAGAAACTCATAACAAGTGTGGCAAACATCAGATATTTGGAGTGAATGGTGTATATAAAACTGCATAGAATTAAAAAATAAAGCAGCTCCTCCTGCTTTCTTGGAAGGTCAGCCTCAACAACAGTGTCCTCCAATTTACCCAGCAGTGGCCTCCAGCCGCAACAGAATCTGTTCTTCCGTCTGCAGACAAAATAGAAATCTGACAGAAATGTTTATACGAAAAGCCAAAAATCCCCACCAGCCTCCAGGTGTCACACACAAATAAAACTCTCTTTTCTGAAATACAAGCATGACTACAGCACAGCATAGCCCAGGCTTCTGGTGACCTGAACGTAACCAAGTCCGTGGTTTTGCTGCTTAGTGATTGTGGGCCGGATAATATTGGTAGATGCCTGTAAAAATGAAGTGTGGCTGATAAGTGACAGAGAATCTGTCCTTTCATTTTTGCTGCCACCATTTCTCCAATGAAGGTATTTCTTGGTACTCTAGTGTTTGATGATCATTACATCCCCCAACAGTGTGAGTGCAGACAGTGGTAAGTGTTCACTAGATTAATTTTTTCTGTATTCTTTAGCTGTTTTACAGTCTTTGTCATGACAGGCATTTTACGGCCTTCCTTTTCATGTCCTTGTTTTCAAGGGTCTATCAGCAAGGTAGGCTACCTTTACCCAAGTGCTTCACTGCTTGAATTTCCCAGAAGCAGCCCTGGGGCCCTGGTTCTTGCCTCATGAAGTTCCTCATTCGGAGGCAGGCTCGTTCCCTGTGAGCTTCACCTCCGTATGAAAGATGAGGGGGCTGCATTCTGTTATATCTTAGCAGTATCCTGAGCTCTCTGGAAAATGTTCAATATTGCAATTAATGCAGTAAATCTTGTATGCCTCTGCCTTGGCTTCTTACATTGAAAGTAGTGACTGATGTTATTTGGTTGATGGTTGCTCTCCTACTGGGACTGATTTACTGTTCTGTAGCGTCCATAGCCCCCCACGAAGGAGAATGTTAATTATATAGGAAACGCTTGTACTTGTTGCTCTATGATGTACATACAACATGTGTTAGGTAGGAAAAGGAATCTGCTAACGCCTCTCTGACGATAGCAGCTGGGATTCAAGGGATTCACTTGCACCATTTTCCAAGGTAAGTGAACTCAGCTACATGTCCCTTTGACTTTATGAAAACAAGACTTAAAATTACTAAATTTTAGCAACATGATCCTATTTTTGGTACATTCTTAAGGCTACAAACTACTGCGTGATCAACAGGTACCAAGCAG